TTCCCCTCTCACATTAAACCTATGCCTTCTGGTTTTGGACTCCCCTACCCTAGAAAAAAAGACTTTGGCTACTCACCCGATCCATGCCCCTCATGATTTTATAGACTTCTACAAGGTCATTCCTCAGCTTCTGAAGCTGCAGAAAACAAAGCCCCAGCCTATTCAGCCTCTCCCTATAACTCAAACCATCCAGTCCTGGCAGCATCTTTGTAAAACCTTTCTGCACCCTCTCAAGTTTAGCAACATCCTGCATATAGGAGGGTGACCAGAATTTAACACAGTATTCTAAAACTGGCCTTGCCAATTTCCTGAGATAACAAGGTGTAGAGCTGGATGAAAACAGCAGGCCAAGCAGCATCATAGGAGCGATGATGCTGCTTGGTCTGCTGTGTTCATCCAGCTCTACACCTTGTTATCTCAGATTCTCCAGCATCTGCAGTTCCTACTATCTCTCGCCAATTTCCTGTACAGCTGCAACATGACATCCGAATTCCTATACTCAAAGTTACAACCAGTGAATGCAAGGGTGCCAATGCCACTTTTGCCACCCTGTCTACCTGCAACTCCACTTTCAAGGAACTATGCACGTACACCCCTAGGTCTCTTCGTACGGCAACGCTCCCCAGGGACCCCGTTTGTCCACCATTTTCTTAGCTACCATCTGTTCTGAGAAAGGGTCACCGGACCCGAAACGTTAACTCTGATTTCTCTTCACAGATGCTGCCAGGCCTACTGAGCTTTTTCAGCAAATTCTGTTTTTTGTTTCTGATTCGTAGCTTCCGCAGTTCTTTCGGTGTGTACCCGAGCCAGGAGATCTGGATTCAAGACCCAGCAGCTCCAGAGTTGCGCCACTGAACTTTTCACGCCCAATCCGGTTTACCTGAGTGACAAACCTGGCGGCGTCTGTGAAGACATGATAATCCACATCGGTGTATTTCACCGGCATGGAGCGGTCCTGATGCAGCCCATAGAAGACAAGGCCGACGCGAAGGCAGAAAGCGACTGCAAACAGGGCAGCGCGCTCAGGGTTCAAAGCTGGGCCCATTGACTTGAGGGTAGGGGGCGGGGAAATTTACATCGGCCAATGTAAGATTAAAAGGAGCTTTAAAGGGGAGGTGGCCCCAGCAACGTTGGTAAAGAGAAAGTGGTTGATTTGAGGAGATTGAACCGTTGGTCCCTGTCTTCTTAGAGGTGTTCAAATCCCATTCTGGATGTTTATGCATGCGGGTCTGAAAGGTCCGACAGAAACCAGAAGGATCATCGCAGCCGCCATTGAATCAGAAGGGGAGCGCGAAGCAGCTGAAACAGAGCAGTCCCCTAACGGCTCACCATCACGTGGCTGGACGCGGAGGGGCTGGGCTGGGGTCAGGTGACGCGGGCGGAAGCGCTCGCGCGGAGCGGAGGTGAGGCAGTTCGAGCGGGGAAGCTGTTGAGATCAGGCTCGTGGCAACAACGGTCTCCGATGGCGTATCATTACCGGCCGCAGCAACCGGCCAACAACGGCCTCCCCGACCAAGGCTTCCTGTGGAATGTCTTCCAGAGGTACACGGCATCTCGATTACGGGAGGCGCGGAACGTGTGGGAGGGAGGCAGGCGAGAGAGAGCTCGATTGATTGAGATGGTCACCCGCCGCAACTCCACTCCATTCTTATCTCCACACCCCCTCACTGGCTTCAGCATCCTCAAGTCTTGTCCCCTCTCCCTCCTTCCTCCCCCATCTTTGGGGGAAACACTGAGCCCGCTCCCCCCACTGTTCACCAGGGGAGGGCCTGAGCCCGCTCAGATAGTACCCTGGAAGCAAGGGTTGAAGAGATAGGGCCAGTGGGCTCCTTGAATGATTGCCAGACTGTTCCTCGCGCACTACCTATCTGAATAACCAGGGGAATTCTTCTTGGTGCCTTGGACAAGACTTCTTAATTAAAGTCACTGAAGGGAGTGAGCTTGTTTTCAAGTACTTTGTGTGCAAAATTGTGCCTTTCCCACATTACTTCATTAACTATGATGGTACTTCATCCTTTATTGGTAATGTTTTCCTTCCTCTGGGGTGCAGTTTAGTGGAGTTCTCTCTGGGATGGCTGTTTAAACAACTCCTTTTGTCAGCATAACTTGTACTGTCCCCATAGTGCCCTTCAGAATCTTACCACTTGCTTTTATTTAGCAACTTTTGGGTGTTCAGATCGCATCACAGGCAGCAAATTATTTTTGAATGGTTGTCATTGTTATTCAGGGAACACATCCACTAATTTGTTTACAAATATCCAGACTCCAATAAGCTAAGTGACTGGTTAAAGTTTTGAATGGTAAAGTTTGGTCCCTACACCTGGTGTATTGCCCTACTTCTGTTCCTATCTCATTGGATCTTTTATGTTCTCCAGAGGAATTAAAGGAAACAACCAATTAATGCCTCATCCAGGCATTTCTACCACTGGTAACATTATATTCCCTCAAAACTCAGTTGCAAATGCTGTACAAGCTGGAGAATCAGAGGCTTTACTCTGCTACTAACCATAGGTGCATTCAGAAGTGTTGGTGAATGCACAACAGACTAGTATCTGAACAAATTTCTAATTGCTGGCTACAGTTCATATTGCAGGCTTGTATAGAAACATAGAATATTGTTGCAGCAGTAGGTCAATCAGCCCTTTGAATGGTTGCTGTTCAATATGATCATGACTGATCATCAACTTGGTACCTTTTTTCAGTTTTCTCCCTGTATCCTTTGATCCCTTTAGCCCTAAAAACTATATCTACATCTTTCTTGAAAGCCGTCAGTGTTTTGGCCTCACCAGTTTGCTGTGGCAGATATTTCTCTTCATCTCTGTCCTGTCCTTAGATTGTGCCCCCAAGTTCTGGACTCCCTGGTCATCAAGAACATTCATCCCGCATCTACACCGTGTCTAATCTTATTTAAGAACATGAGAACCAGGAGCAGGCGTAGGCTATCTGGCCCTTTGAGCCTGCTCTGCCATTTAATAAGATCATGGCTGATTTTTTTTTTCATGGCCTCAATTCCACTTACTCTCTCTCTCACCATAAACCTTAATTCCATAGTATTAAACAAATCTCTTAGTTCTAACAACATTCAATGAGGAAACCTCCACAATTCAGTCCTAAATCTGGTCCCCTTAATTTTAAGGCTATGTCCTCTTGTTCTAGTTTTGCCCGCCAATGGAATCAACCTCCCTGCTTCTATCTTATCTATTCCCTTCATAATTTTGTATGTTTTATGAGGTCACCCCCTTCATTCTTCTAAATTCCAATGCATATAATCCCAGTCTTTTCAGCCTCTCCTCATAAGCCAATCCTCTCCCCTCTGGAATCAACCTAATGAATCTCCTTTGGACCCCTCCAGTGCCAGGACATGCTTTCTCAAGTAAGGAGACCAAAACTGCATGTGATACACCAGGTGTGGCCTCGCCAGCACCCTATACAGCTGCAACATGACCTCCTTGCTTTTAAACTCAATTCCTCTAGCAATGAAGGACAAAATTCCATTTGCCTTTTTTAATTACCTGTTGTACCTGCAAACCAACCTTCTGTGATTCATGCACAAGGGCACCCAGGTCCCTCTGCACAGCAGAACGCTGCAATTTTTTACCATTCAAATAATAGTCTCTTTTACTGTTATTCCTACCAAAATGGATGACTTCTCATTTATCAACATTGAATTTCATCTGCTGGACCTTTGCCCACTCACTTAAACTGTCTATGTCCCTCCAAAAATTTTCACAGTCCTCTGCAAACTCTGCTCTACCATTCATGTTCGTGTCATCGCAAACATTGACACATTACACGTGGTCCCCAACTCCAAATTATCAACAATTGCGGTCCCAGGAGTGATCCCTGGGGCACACCACTAGTTACTGTTCGCCAACCAGAAAAGCACTCCTTTATCCCTATTCTTTGCTTCCTGTTAGCTTACCAATCCTCAATCCATGCTAATACGTTGCCTGTAACGCCGTGCACCTTTATCTTATGCAGCAGCCTTTGGTGTGGCAACCCTGTCGAATGCCTTTTGGAAATCCAGATACACAATATTTACTGGGTCCCTGTTGTCCACTGTGCTCATAATGTCTTCTTAGAATTCCAGCAAATTAGTCAAGCATGACCTGCCTTTCATGAAGCCATGCTGCATCTGCCCAATAGGGCAATTTCTATCTAAATGTCTCGCTGTTTCTTCCTTGATAGATTTAAGTATTTTCCCCACTACAGAAGTTAAGCTAACCGGCCTATAATTCCCCATCTTTTGTCTACCTTCTTTTTCAAACAGTGGCGTCACATTGGAAAACAGTCAATCTGCTGGAACTGCCCCAGAATCCAGCAAATTTTGGAAAATTACCACAAGTGCATTTGCTATTACTCCCGCCATCTCTTTTAGTACCCTGGGATGCATTCCATCAGAGCCAGGAGACTTGTCTATCTTTGGCCATTAGCTTACCCAATACTACCTGTTTCATGATAATGATTGTGTCTAGGTCCTCACCTACCTTAGTCTCGTTGTCATCAATTTAGAATCTTATAGGTTTCTAACATCCTATCAAAGTAGCTTTTGAAGCAAAAATAAAGTTGCCATCTTCCCATTAGAGACAGACAACTGGTGAGTTTAACCCAAGGATCACCACACCCCAGACGAGGGCCAAAGTTGAAAAAGCTGGACATTTATGGTAACTGCAGTCAGTACATGGCTCAAACCCATACTTTTGGCGACACTCTGCATCGCAACCCAGCTACCCATCCAACTGAGCTAACCAACCCCAGGTAGTTTCTGAAAGTGAATTCACACGGGGAAGGGTGGCACAGCTTGGAACGGAAGTTTAGTGTAATGCAGAAACAGTTGGCAGCACTGTCAGATTTTTTTTCTTACAGCCCCACTGGTTGTCCTTAAAAGAGAATCTCTCAAAAGTGAGTAGGGAAAGAGATGGAAGAGAAAACTGAAGCAAGTGACTAAATTGATGAAATCTAAAATGCACACAGTCAAATGTGAAGTCCTGTCAGGATTCTGCTGGACTTGAATGTGATTTAATCACACTTGCTGTAGCGGTGACACATCATATAAATCTAGAAGATTGAGGCCATTGGCATGCTGTTTGGTTGTTATTTCAGGACATTTGAGCAAATTAAGTTTACAATTATTCCTTAATATCATTGGAGATCATTCATCTCTGTACTAATATCTACCTTTTTTAAAGTTTTAACAGTTAGCTCTGTAAAGATCTAAAGAAGAACTATGTTGTTAAAGTTTGTGTGAACATAAACTGAGAAAACCCATCACTTTGGTCACAGCAGTGATTTCATTTCTTAAAAAGGCGAATGGAGTTATAAATTGGAGCTATGCTGACTGCTAGAAAATTTATAATTTTAGTAGCTAGGATATTATCTTACTGTTTTATATTAGACGAGAAAGAAAAATTAAATTTTGGGATATACTGAACACTGCTTATTTTAAAGTTTTTTTTAAAAAAGTCTTGATCCACTATTTGAAAATTTTCAGATTGAAGATATTGAGAGTAAAAGAGGTATGGGGAACCAATAACACACACTTCTTGTTTTGAAGAAATGGAATTTGTTTAGTTGTAACATGATTGTGTGGGATGCACATTATATAATACTCTGTGGATTTATTTGTGTAGATGTAAAATGTACTTTGAGTCATATCAAAATAATCTGTAGTTTGAACTTGTTCTATGCTGCAGTACAGTGGAAGCAATCCATTTGACTTGAACATCTCTAGAAAAGGAAGAAGTTAACAAGGTTTGCCTTTCTGCCATCTTCATGACATGCCTGCTTGTATTGAGTAGCTGAGGATATATTCATACCCATTGTTTGCACCTACACTCAAAGTAAAGTTTCACAGTAATGCTGACTTTCTAGTCCCCCAACTAAAGACTTCATATTTTGCATAAGGCACTGGAGGGAAGTTAATACCACTGGGACTCTAGAATTAGCTTTCTCTTCACAGGAACTAGGAGGGGAAAAAAAATGAAATGCTTTAGTGGTTTAATTGTCAATACTCCCTTGACAGGTTAGGGTGGAAGATCATGTTTGTGTGTTTCTTGCTGCAAGTGATGAGTTCATGTTTGTCATAAATTGGTGTTGAGTTCTGATGTTTCAGCATGTAGCTAGTGGGAGAATTTTTAGATAATGCAAGAAATATTTACTGACTTCAGACTTTACACTAAAATTTTGCAATTGGTAAGGTTAAAAGTAGAACTGGAAAGTTTTAGCAATACATACATTGTCTATAGTTTGACTTTATAAAGGTTTAAAGATGTTGAAATGACGAGTGCTTGAGAAAACTTGCAGCTTTTGCATATGTAGAGTGATGAATTGGATTGAAAAATAAGCTTAAAGGAAATGTAATATTTAACAAGGTTACCTGTTGAGGGTTTAACACAGTACACTGGTGAAACCCTTGTGATTTCAGAAAATATTTGAGGATGTTGCCAGGGCTGGAGGGTTTGAGCAAGAGAAGTTGAATAGGCTGAGGCTATTTTCCCTGGAAGCATTGGAGGCTGAGGGGTGATTTTATAGAGGTTTATAAAGTCATGAGGGGCATAGATTGGGGAAAAGACCTTGTC